CAACATATAACAGTTTGGCAGTTCCCCAAACTTTTGGAAGCCGCAAAAACTTCATGCCCCCTCAACATGTAAACTGATCTTTTTGTAACCAGTAGCAATAGACCTTTTTCACAGCAGCCATTTTAACATGAAATAGTAGGGTAGACACAGGTGTTACCAATGATATTAATAAAGGTTCTGTTCAAATCAGGTCAAACAGAGTCAGGTTGCTGCTATTGTGCACTAAATGGAACAGAACTTTAATTGGTATCACTGGTAACACCTGTGTTTACCCTACTCTTTTATATCAAAGTGCCTGCTGTGAAAAAGGTCTATGTTGGGGGAAACTAGTGGAGAACATCAACCGCATGTCTCATGAGTTTCTGTCAAACTTTGCAGAAAACAAAACCTACAATATCTATTGGAAGTAAACCTTCAGCATCTTTATTTTCTAAGATTTTTTCCAAATGAATCAAATGTACAGACTATTTTTATTGTGACTTGTCATAAAATTAGGTAACAGTTACTAATGTTATTAATTACACCTGTGTGTGACGAGTCAAAAGGTCAGCTCTGTTCAACTTTAGTTTCTACTGTAATGTCCTACTTGGTCAAGTGTGCCCCACCCTCAATAACTGTTTAAATGTTTATTTTGCATGATTTCATTTTAGTCTCATGAACTCTCCCTTCCTCTGCAGGGTGTTATTATTATTACCGATTACCGTAATCACAGATTTATATCTATCTATGATCTTTGTTCACAGCCCAGACCTCTTGCAATGTATTTTCCAGTTCACACATAGACTACATCCACTTCCTGTTCCTGATGTTATGTGACTGCTGTAAAAACTGATCTGTGGTTGTTAGTCTCAACAGTTAATGCACGTACTGTAGCACAGAGCTGCATTTTCACCAGTGTCAGCATGCACATATGAAGCAAAAGCTAAAATTAGTAATGAATAAATCAGTGTACAGATATATTTCTGCCACAGAGCACACACATGATTCATGGCTGTGGGACTTCCTCAGTTTTGCAGCTTGTCTTTTCGTGTTTTCTGAACATTAATGATTGTGCTTATTGCTTCAGAGAGGACTGCCAGTGGTTTGTACAGTGGTGGAGAGTTAGCTACTGGCTGATCTTATTCCCAGAAGGTTTGTTTCACAAGCACCAGCCACATTAACGACACCAACAAAATGACTGAGATTTATTACAGAACTTGAGAATTTCTTGAAAATGCCCAGCTCAGTCAAATCGACAGTGGGTGTGTGTTGTGTACGGGAAGACCTTGAGCGCTAAGGACAAACGACTCTGCCCACATCACAGGTGCCAGTTTCCCACATTGCTTCGTGGGCCACACCAACAGATTTAACGCAGGCGTATCTACCTTATGTCCACAACTTTTGTCCACAAGTTACATAACCACCCACTTAATTTGCATGTGAACGTCTATAAATGAGAGAGGCAATGAGGTGACAGACACTAGAAGCCTGGAGCTGACGCTATTCACGCCTCAGGATGGATAAAGGCTCCTGGAAACAGACCCTTGTGGCTCTTGTGGTGGTTCTGGTCAGCACGTATGCAGAAGGTAATGACATTTGTTTCTGTTATCACCATGTTTTGTGAGGTGTGTGGGGTGTGATGGCGATATATGTACACAGATTAATATTATTTGGAGTGAAAGAAACTGTATTGACTTTTTTCAGTTGAGATTCTTTATAATTGGCAACTTTCATTCTTTTAGTGAACACTTTTTATTGTGTTGAGCATAAACAATGGCTAAAATGTTTACTTTTCGTTCATGTATGAGCTCATATAGGCTCATAAATATTCTACCGCTGAAACGTCAGCCTGTGTGGATCTAGTGGTGTAGCAGTAAAATCTGGGCCCATATTTACCCTCTGCGGGCCCACTGTACTTTTAATGCGTTACATCCATTGTCACACCTGTACAAATACCTGAATTAAGGACTCAACACATGCATCTGTAGAGGTTAATTAGAGTATTCAGTAATAAAGTGCTTAAAAACACATTTAAGGAATTCTGCATAATCTGAAAAATCGTATTTCAGACCTCTTTTTTTAACATACTGTAATTATGTGAAGCTTCACTATAATAGAACATTATTATTATTATTATTATTATTATTATATTATCCAGAGCATACACTGAGACAGGAGTACTGTTTTACTGTAGCTAATACTCAAAGACAACTGAGTAAGACTTCACTTGAACCACATTTTATTTGCACAGTGGTGAAATCTAACTGCATACATTCAATTACTGTACTTTAATCTAATACCACATTACACTTACACTTACATTCTAGAGGAACATTACATTACAGAAATATTGTATTTTTTAATTCCCTAATTTTTTCTTACTTTAGTTACTAGTTCCTTTACACATTTGGCAGATAAAACATATGAAAATGTACAATTTGTCAATTAATCGACTGAAAATTAATTGGCAACTATTTTGATAATCATTTAAGTTTTGCACTCAAAAACTTAAGCAAAGGTTCGGTACACAGGAGACCCAAAAACACATGCAAACAAGTCCAAAGGGCAAAGGCAAAAAGTCAAACAACATGAGGATGCTGGGTCACTATAGAGACAAAGACAAACTGGCACAGGAGGGAGAACAGGGACTATATACTACACAGGTGTGGGGTAATCAGGGACAGGTGCAGGTGATTAGGACAGGGCTAAATAATTAGCCAGAAACACACAAAGACAGGAAGTGAAGGGATCTGAAAGGAGAGGGAGAGGGAGAGGGAGAGGGAGGTACAAACTCAAACAGGAAATACACATGAACTACCAAATAAGACAAACTAAGACTGAACCATGAATTTAAAACTTCATGTAGATTTTCCTGATTGAAAAGTTAATAAACATTTCTGATGCTTCTGGGGTTTATTAGCATTAGTAATGGTTGCAAACACACTAGTAAATCTGATCAAAACACTTTATAAGTTTAGTCTGTGTCCTAAGTACCATGATGGTGGGAGTTGTTTTGGGATACAACCTGAGTTCAAAGGTAAGGGCTGAAGGGACAATTATGTGTTTTCTGTTCTCGTCTCCAGCTTCCTTCTCCTGTCACATGGGTGACTTCATCAAGGCGGTGAAGCAAAGGTGGAAGACGGGGACCCTGGGTCAGAGCCAGTGGCTGTTGTTGAAGAGGCTCCGCAGGGCAGCTGGCCTTAATGATGCATTCATTCAGCACTTCCTTGGTGATGCCAACTCTTGGTGGTCCTGAATAAACGCTGCCCTCCCTCAAGTTTACATTAGAAAGACTGTGCATCAACAGGGTGACTTGAAGAATGCGAAGGAGGAAGATGTGGTGCTGACTTCTGTTGGCACCACTGTTGCCCTTTTCATTGCCCGTCTTCACCCTGGGCCATTCAGAGAGCCTTAGGTCAATAACCTCTCCAAGACTGAGGGGCGTTATTGGGGCCTGCATCAGCTCACTTTGGCCAAAGACCTGGATCTTTCTTTCAGGCACAGCTCTCCTCTCACCCCGGTTCTGGGACCTGACGGCTGCTGGGACAGTGTAACTTCTCCTCAAGTCTTCACCCTCTTGGACAGCCCCTCTCCGGTCACCACTGCTCAGGTCAACGGAGGCATGGACGGCATTGTTCTAGGGATGGAAGCCAAATCCAGACGTCCTCGCAAGCTCAGCAGTCTGCTGACAGAGTACTACTGCCACCAACTGGACAGGGAAGGACTGGACGTCGCTCCACGCCTCATCAGCCGGCACCGCAGGGAGAACTTCAGAGGGCTGGTTAGCCGTCCAGTGCTGATCAGACAGGTGTTGAAATCACAAGAGCTGATGCGGAAGTTGGTGGGTCGTCGATTGATGAGGGTGAGCCAACTGAGGCCTATGGTGAAAGAGGGAATGAGAGAGTTTGTCCAGAAGTACATCGGTGAGCACAAGACCAAACCTCAGAGGAAGTGAAATAATTCTGAAATGATTGTCTTTCAAATTGAGAATAATTAATTACTGCTTAATTCCACTGACATACACTAACCAGCTCTGATGCTTCATTGTTAATCTGTTTCAGAGTGCCCACCTATCATACCTCGCTGTATGTGGGGTGCAGAGCCGTACAGAGGAAACCCCACCAACCTTTCTCTTCCTCTCTCCTTCCTGTACATCCACCACACTCACACACCGGGCAAGCCCTGTCTGACCTTCCAGCAGTGCTCTGCAGACATGCGCTCCATGCAGCGCTTCCACCAGGAGGATAGAGGTTGGGACGACATAGGATACAGGTAAGAGCAGTCAGGTTTTAGCTCTCACACATATGACATTTTTCACCAAACTTACAGTATCTAAGATTCTCTCTGCTGCCAAAGCTTTGTCGCAGGCTCTGACGGGTACATCTACGAGGGTCGAGGCTGGCACTGGCGAGGAGCCCACACCCTCGGACACAATTCCATAGGCTACGGTGTTTCCTTCATCGGAGACTACATGACGACTCTGCCCTCCCAGCATTCCATGGGGCTGGTGAGAGATAAGCTGGCAACCTGCGCTGTTAGTGGTGGGCGACTGGTGGCCAACTTCACCCTGCAGGGGCACCGACAGGTGGTGAACACTTCCTGTCCGGGAGACGCTTTGTATAATGAGATCAGAGGCTGGAAACACTTTGGGGTATGTACATATGAGCACTGACATATTAACAGGTGTTATAGGGGTATGGAAGACATGGGTGAGCTGATAGGAAACAAAGCTTGAATATCCACAACAGAACTGGTGTAGCCGGCTCCAGGTTGTCTTTAATGCCCCAGATGCATTGACAAAACAGAATAAAGAGGGTTATAAGCACACAGGGTGCAAGACTCTGCAGCCTTTCTTCATCAGGGTGCGGCATCCTTCATTATGTCTTTCAAGTCTCCTTTTTGGACATGTGAAGACAGTCACGGCATAACTGATGGTTGTAAAAGGTTTACTAAGAAGCTGAAACAGGTTTATAAAATTGATCTTCTGGAACTGATTCAGTCAAAAAACTATGAAAGCCCTGAAAGGGAAGTGACATTTTTAAGGTGAAAACATTTTTTTAATCTGTGAAAAAAAGTGAAAAAATTATTTTCTTTCAGGGCTTCCATAAATAACCATGTTCCTCTCAGACCTTCCTCTAAGAACTACTGACCATGACATCAGCATAAGTAACATTAACCGTAGTGACATTTACTATTCATTGCTTGCAGTAAATCTTACAGTATTTTTGGCTTATAGTTATCCTGTACTTCTGTACTCTTCTTTGAGTTGTTAGCTGTTCCACCAAAGAGAGATTTCCCCCATAACTATTTGAGGCTCAAATGGGTCAAAATTCCCCAAAAGCAAAGATTGAACCATTAATCATCTTATGACCCCTCAGATTTTCTACCTGTATATAAAGCAGTTCCACTTCGAGCTGCTACAACAATAACAAGACAATTACACCTTGATGTATCAGTATCAACTCACAGTGTAATAATATAATAATGAGTCATGAGTCACAAGTCATTTACTTTTTGCTTATAATACTGTACTGTTCTATTCCTTAAGTAGGATTTTTAATGCTGGATCTTTACTTGTACTTTTACATTGTTGTATTGGTGCTTTTGGTGCTTTTATCTCATCACTGCACAACTGTTTAATGTATTTTATTTTATATTTAATTTCCTTCCTTTCAGGAGGTCAAGAAATGAAAATGGTCTACTTGACAAGCGGAGGAGCCTTGGCTGAACCAAAACTGAACACAATAAATATTTGTCTTATTCTTATTTTCTGATTGTTGCCTTTCTCATTTGAACGCTGTGACCTGTGTTACATGAAATCTTGTGTATGATTACACAAGATTATTTTTTATCTTTAATTATCTGCATCTTAGCCTAAGAGGTTATTACTTACGTTAATTACGTTATTGCAGATTAAGAGTTTACATACAAAGTATATGCATCTAAAATAGAATGATTTGTTAGATTAAAGTATAATACATAATAACTCTACTTCAACCATCTTTAAAATGCTGCCTAAATGTCAATGCATCAGTAGGACTGGCTGACATGACACGGAGTGTTTTTTTTTATCAGTAAAGATTTATGTCACTATATAGCAAATGGATGCAAAAGCACATATGAAGTAATACAACTGATAAACTGTTACTCACCAAATCAAA